AGCTGTAGGACTGGAACAGTTGGAACAGGAAAAGCTTGGAGCGAGAGGCCGTGTTCCTGTCAGACTCGGTGCCCTGGCAGAGCCCTTCTCTGGTGGGAACAGCCTCGTGCCCACACTTGGAGCTTGTGGTGTGCGCCTGAGTGCACCTGGCGTCACCCTGGGCAAGTCCCTGCTGGTGCCACCCCAGGGGCGCACCCCAGTCCCACCAGCAGCATAGAAGAGCACATTCTGGCTCTGCACGCTGCGTGCTGTGCACACGCACGGGATAACGGCTGATGGGAGCTTCGTTGCTGGTAATGGCACGGTGCGGACGTAATCCTAGAACGGTTACGTCACAGCAAATCAAATTTTGGTTCTTCCTTCAGTTGCGTGCAGTGCTTGATAGACACATCTTTAATGACCACGTTCTGCTCTACCACAGGCCAGAACTTTGCTGTCACAGATTACTTGCTATTTCTGAAAGTATTTTAAGTAATGACATTGTAGCAGATGTTGTCTAAAGCAACGCGTGATGCAAACTTGTGACTTCTCAATAGCCGTCAGCTGAACAATCATTTGCTCTTAAGACTTTAACCTCTCAGGTAAGGGGTTACCGTCCTCGTGACGCGTCTGTATGAACGCTTCCACGTGCCCCATGGAACTCTCTCGTCTAACCCCATACAGGGATCTTGGTCGAGCTTTTGAGTGTGACTGAATTAATGAGGTGTAAATCAGATGGCCACGTAGAATGGCAAGTTTTTCTTGCAAGGTACTAGCATGTGTTTTGAGAAAAAGAAACGAGAGCCTTTCAAGTCAGGAATTAGACATTCTAGAAGCAGATGCTTAATATTTTGAGAGTAGGTATATTGCAACACTTCCTGCATTTTTCCGCACAGGAAAGACTCAGTGCTGTAGCTCGGAATGGGAGTTTTCTGCTTATTGCACCATTTAATGCCACTTTGACAAAGAACACTTGATGCAGTTGGTACTGGATTTCCTTGGGATTTCAGAAATACGATAAATGATTACTGGCTAAGAACTGCAACTCTTCTAGACGTTGTCAGGCTTGAGGCTGGGGGCAATATAGCGATCTGATTGCCTGAAGGCCTGTGCTGCATTTACATTGCCTAATGTTTAAGTGCTTGCAAATGTAGAATGATAAAGTATAGATGGAAACCAAACTACAAGCTTTATTTTTAACTTGCCTTACCTTGTATTCTGCCTTATGTCTTGCTTTGCTATTTGCACTTCCCTTGAAACTTCCCTTGCTTATTTCTCTTCCCCCAGGTGTCTCTTCTCCTTCCCTTCTAACTGGCAGCAGTCCCCTTCACCTGAGAAGTGGGCTTTAGATCTGCTCTGCCAGGCAGCTTGCTAACTTCTGTGTAGCTCTCTAAAGCAGGTAGATACCTTCTTGCAAAACGCACACTGCACTCGCTGCATTCCAAGAAATAGATGCATGTCATAGAACCGTAACAAAGGTGTGGTCCCAAACTGCAAAACACCAATAAACTTGCCTTCTTCAAGCACGCAGGAGCAGAAAACTAACAACTGCAGTGGCTGATACTTGTGGGTACTACAGATGAACTAAACTTCCGAAGTATGTTAGGAATCTCCCATAATGGAAAGGTCTGAGGGACAAGAGAACTGGTGGAACTTTTGCATTAGGATGTGTAAAAGTGGGTCTGGTCCTCGGCGGGTGCCACCGAGGGGCTGCAAAGAGAAGTATCCCCCAAAGCCAGAGAGCTTTTTTTGTTGGGAGAGTCCTGTTTGCAAGGAGACGAACCAGGCTCTGATGTTCCGGCTCTGGGCTGGAGAGTGAGGGAATGGGAGAGAGGGAGGGTGTGGGAATGAAGGGACAGGAAGTTTGGGAGAACTCCGTGAGGATGACTTAAAGGGGGAGTAAAGGACCCGGCAGAACTGTGTTGAAGATCAGCAGCGTAGGCTGAAGGACCGGTATCGACTTGGTCCCTGTACTGGTGCGGGAACATGCTGTGGGTTGGAAGTTTTTACAGCCATTATTCTGATGAGTTGCTGTTGAAACACCTCGTGCTGCAACATGAGGGTTTTTTATGGCGCTTGCTGAAAGCTTCTATATGACTAAATTTTAAACTCCAAGCTTTGAGGGAGAGAGGCTCTGTCTGCAGTGCAAAACTGACTGCCCCTGTAGTAATCGGCACGCAGATTTATTAAGGGTAAGGAGTTCTGTATCTCCAGTACAGAGTTTGCTTGTCCCAAGAATGCTCCTCAGCGAAGGCCCAGACAAGCGTAAGGCAGTTCTGCTTGTTCGCGGGGCAGCCCCTTCAACTCTAAATACGCAGCCGGGAAAAACTTTGCAGGGCTGAAAGGACACGTGTGGAGCCCAGGAGGGGAATGTGTGCGTGCCTGAACTCACTTCGCTCCCCCAGCAGGTCCTCCCCTTCGCAAAGGAAGGCTCCCCCTCTTCACTGCCACTGCTGTGGTGGAGGGAGAGGTGGAGAATGCTGGTGCTTGGGCTCCTTTGGTAACTCATTTGGCACATTGGAATTAAAAAATGCTGAGCAAATCCGAGAATGGCCTTCACAAGCTACTCCGCTTAGTGGGCTAAGATGCCTTAATTCCCAGTGTTCCTAGATTCCAGGGAATCTAACCGAGAACTCTTAAATGTTCTTGTTTAAGGTGTCTGGTTGACTTTGTAGTTGAGCGTTACCAGAGGGAATAAAACTGTTCAATTGCTCTTTAGAATCAAACTGATCACCGATATTCTGTTTTCTTCCCGAAAGGCCCTGGAGTTGCTGGTTACCTTACTGCAGGGACGCCGTCATCCGTAATGCCCAACGTACCGCCCCCGGTAGACAACGAGGTGGGAGACGTCAGCTAAGGACTGGAAATCCTTGTGAAAGAGACAAAGGCAGACTGGCCAGTGATGAGGAACAGCACTTTCCTCCAACGCGCTGAAGTGAACTTACTGCCTTTCCAAGTGTTATGACAGTGTTATTCCTTTTTCTATGACTGTGTTTTTTGGGTTTTTTCTTTTTTTTTTTTTTTTTAGGAAGAAGTCAGTGATTCTAACTATCACACTGTAACACAAGAAAGCACTCTGGATCAGCTGAAATGCGTACACAAGAATTTTTTTTCTTGTTGTACGTAAGCACATTTTGTTCCTTTATATTTGTTTACAAGACTGTGAATCAAACTTTCCTAGTTTTTATATTTTATGAATTAGCATGACTGGAGTTGAGCTACAGTCTAGAGGAATTGGGCTAAAATCACTTTGACCTCACCAACCCCCACTAAAAGGGCATCCCGTCTTTTCCCAATCTGATGTGATCACTCCCATCGAACAGGACCTGCAGAGCGTTTGTCCCTGCACCAGTTCGCTGATGTCCTTAATCATTAACATTACCTTCTTCCTGAGATCACACAGCATTAGACATTCGTATGTATAACCGGCTTGACCAAATTGACAAAAGCTTTCAGCAAAAAAACCTTCAAGTTGACATCTTATGTAAGAAATTAGTGTAATTGTGAAATGTTCTATACATTATCCAGTATATAAAAACTTTCTATATTGAGTGTACATTACACAGATCATTCATATGTACATAAAATTTTAAAAATAAAGGGAATTAAGAGCCTTGTTAATGAGATAAAGGTGGTGGTCTTCTGTAGCTGTTCTTTGAAGGTCTGGGAAACGAGGGCGGTCAGAGACCTTACTTAGAGCGTGGCATTCGTGCTTGGAAAAAGCCATGGTGCGGGTTCTGACAGCCTGGAGCAGAACAACTCCTAAACCACGGGCAGCGGTACGGTACAGGTGGTTCTGTATCTGAAACGCACTCGCTGACGTCCTCAGCTTCCTAGGAAATGCTCGTGGCAGGAAGCAAGAGGAAATGAAGATGGATGGAAAGACAAACAATAACGATTGCTTTCTCACAAGCAATGATCTAATGATCTTGGTTTTAGGTATAATGAATTGAGATGAGGAAAGAAACTTAAGTTGTGGGAAGCTTCTGGTTCCAGGTCCTCTGAAGCTGTACTGCCCTGGCGGCCTGCAGCAGCTTGAGCTTCATGCTGAAGACTGAGCCAAACGGGGCGTGTTCTCTCCAAGCACCAACACTGTGCTAGGGCAGTCGGCAGAAGGTAAACACTGGTACCCTCAAGGTAACTGTTACCAACCCTCTGTACGTTGAAATGCGAAGTAGAACTCCCGACGGCACAGCGTGCTGTGACCTGCCTGGTCCTGTTACTCTATGAACAAGTTCTCTAGTAAGTAACTAAGGTGGAAGAGAGTTGTTAGAGAAGCAGAGCTGAGGAACTCCCAGAACTTCACAAAGGTGTACGGGGCATAAACGGCAGAGCCTGTTGCGGTGGCAGAGGCAGCCATGAGCTGCGCTGTGCCCCTCGTGGTTGGGTCCAGCCGAAACTTCGGCTCCTGGGAGGGGAAGGTGCCACCTATGCTCAGACGGATTTATGAAAGGGTGGGAGCTGCTGGGGCCAGGAGAGAGGGGGAGGCTTGTGAGGATGGACAGAAGGAAAAACGCAAGGGAGGAGAAAAGGGGCACCTATAAGGAAAAATGTGAGGAGGTGCATTTGGGGAAACACAGCAGAGGAGTAAGAAGCAAGGGGTAGCAGACAGATTGACACGCCGACGCCAGCCTTGCTTCAGGGGAGGTGGGGGGAAGGCCTGTGTGTAGCCTTGGTGAAAAGGGGGGCAGCTGAGAGCAGGCACGGGGGAGGAGAGAGGCTTGGACTGCAGCTGAGCTTTGGAAAAAGAAAAGGCAGGTGTTACCTGAAGTGTTTGGTTTTTGATGAAATGACAATTAAAAGTTTATCCTAACTTGCAGTGAACTAAATTGGGTGAAAGTGCAGAGTCAAAACTGCTTTGCCTACAATAAAAGGATAAAGAGGGCTTTGGCTCAGAGCAAATAAAGCACTTTAGGCCTGTTAGAAAATAGATTTTATTTAGTGTTATAAAGAACCCAGACCAATTCTGCTATTTACGTGGCATTCTGCAAATTTTTAAAAGCAAGCCCCTGATTGAGGGTAATAATTACAAATAGTGAGAGAACATGTATTGCTTCAAGCGAGAATCAAGTTTTCCTGTTCATCCAATTCTACTTTAAACAACATTATTGCACTAAACAAAACCTTTTCTAACTCTCCCCTCCAGTTGAGAGAGCTTCACGCAGACGTTAGATTTTGGCAGTTAGCTGCTTTGACTGATCAAGGAGTTCCCACCTTGCGATTGTTGAGAGATGAACTTCATCGGGCCCGTCTGCCAAGCGCAAGGTCCGTACGTAAGCAAACCTGCGGCGGAAGGGCTGAATGAGGAGCAGCAGCAGCGAGCCGGGCTGACAGCGGGAGCTCTCGGCACTGGTTTGGCTATAGCCAGCCTTTGCCAAAAGGTGCTTCAAAAAAAGAGCTATCGCACAGGAGAGACTGCAGCAAAATCTTCCTGGCAGGTCTGAGATGCGTGGGCTGGAAATTCAGCAGGCTTGCATCTCCCCAAGAGCATAAGAGATAAGACTGAGCTTTAGAAACAGATCCTCTATGCTGCTGGTAAGAACTATTTTAGACTCAGTGCCAGCTCTTTTTTTTTTCTTTTTTTCTTTCTTTTTTGGCAAGGGTAAAACAATGCAATTGCATTGGAATTGAATTAAAACAATTGCTTTTGTAAGTTTTATAGCTTAATGGCCCATATGCCTTTATTTTGGGGTACCTGAGGTGAAACAGCTTGTACTGGTGTTATAAAATTATCTTAAAGGGAACACTTAGAATCTAGAGAGAAGTCTCCTGTTACTCACATAGAAGCCAAAGGAAAATCCTGGGAAACTCCAGCTCCCCCACACACTTGGATTGCACAGTCAATCACTTTAAGCACAGCTCGAGGGACGACCACTTTGGTCATGGCTACCTGTGGTTAGAAGAGAACTCACGCTATCAGTAACCGTTTCCTAAGCAAGGAAAAATATTTATCTAAGCTTTACTGAAGATGGGGATCTCCCAGTGCATTCCTTCCTCTTGGCTTGGAGGAGAACGCTGCTGTTCCTGGTCCCTGGGTAAGGTTAAAACTGTTTCCACCCACACAAAACTATCTCCTTGTGTTGAGACAAGTGAACAATACTTGAACTTCTTTAATTTTTAAATACTTTCAGGTTGATCTCAAAGTTTTTAACCGAGAACATTTTCCAATCTCGTGACAAACAAAAGCACAGCATAAGGCTGGCTATTTTCAAGGCAAAGTTACACTCTGATTAGAAGAACCATGTTTAGCAATATGTTCTAGCTTGTATTTCAACCAGTCGAATGCACAGGTATCGTATCCCCAAAGTCCTAGCCTAAGGCTGCTAAACCAAATTTTACCTCTTTCCTTGCTTTTCTGTTGCCCAACATGTCGATCTTGCTGGCTGTTTTTAGCGTAAGCAGTCGAGCCTGTTCTATGCTAAGGCGGCACTCAGCAATCCAGTGGGCAACAACCTCCTGCAGAAACCAAAGCCGTGACGCAGAAAGTCGGTTAACGCTGCCTCGCCTGTCCGGGTAAGCCTGCCCTAAGGAAGACGCCCCATTCCTTGGCATGCACGTGGTCACTCGCTCAGACACTCTCGCACAAATCAAAGCTAGTTTGATGCATGTAATCTAATATGAGGTAAAAAACAAAGAAAACACTTGACTGACAGAAATATTAAACGTAGAGCAGTTCTTTTCCTGGCAGGAAAGAGGAAAAGGGGAAAAACTCCAGGTTTCATTTCCTGGTCAGACCCCCTGCCTGCTAGCCCTTTTCCTGGAAACTGCCAAAGCCTGGTTTTTAGGCCCTGCTTTCCTTTACCCACTACCCCCCCTCTCTCTGTACAAAAAGCAGGGGCTGAAAGAGGGGAGGAATTGGTTCTGTTTTGCTTAAACTGTCGGTGGTGGTGCATCACATGCCCAGGTGACCAGCTGCAGGGTGGTGCCTGCTGTATCTGTCTGATCACAGGGATGATAAATTAGTAGCTCCCTTGATCCAAACGAAGTTACAGTCTTGGCAGCCCTTCCCCTCTTAGCTAATTCCCCACTGCAGCCAAGATACCACAGTAGAAAAAAAAGGTTCCTGTGATGTTTGTCAGCGGAAAAGCTGTTTGGAGCCTGAGCCAGCCTCGGGCCCACGCTCCTGCCTGGACCACGGCTGTTTGGTGTAGCCTTGGCAGCCGCAGGAGGCATGAGTAAATGTGCAGCACTCGCTGCCGTGCAAAGTCTGGGGACTCGGCTTAGCTGCTGCCAGCAGAGCTGGTCTGAACCCGGGTGGAGGTGTTCAGCCACGCTCTTCTGCCGACAGCTCCCGGGGTTGTAACGAACTGCCTGCCACGTGGGCGGTGGTGACAGTCAGCCTGTTACCCAAGGCAGCCAACAGCCTCAGCCCTTCCCTAGCTGTCCCACGGCTGTGAAGAACCTATGCCAGCCATGCAGCTGCCTTCCAGGGCTTGCCTGTGGCTTCATCAAACACGAGTTGTTTTTTTTCTTTAATGTGCTTCTGAGAACTGCAGTGTGCCTCATCCAACTCTTACTCATTCTAGGTTATAGTTGTGAATGGAAGTTTGGCAATGACAGGACTGGAAAACAGCTATGTCAGATTATTCTCTCTGGATCTGTACAAACAATTTTCTATAACCTGTGCCAGACACTAATTCAGTTTCCTTTTTCCATTGCCTTTACTTGTTTTTTCCAATAAAGTCATCCTAGCTGTTGGATAAGACTGAGGAACACTTGAAATGCGATAGGCCAACTAGTAAATGCTGATGGTTTCTATAAAAGCTCTCTCTCACGAAACAGTATTTCAATTCCAGAGCAAGATAAGACCAAAAATCCCAATACAGCCTTGGTTTGGTCTGTACTTTCATAAATAAGTACAAATAATTGATCAGAGAAGTAAAAGTTTTAGTCAAATCTAGATGCTTTAGCGTCTCTGGTAATCGCCAACAGAAATGTCTAGGTGACAAATTCAATACGCAAAAAATGGTGAATTCAGATTGCAACGACAGAAACATCAGCTGTATGCCTGAAAAAAAAAATACCTGTCCAAACTGATCAGTAAAAGCAGAGAGGGGAAAAAAAAAAACCAAAACATGGTGACAAAGTATTCAGATGCAGCGAAGGATATCCAATTCATTGCAAGGGGGCGGGGGGAGGAAATCCCATAGGTTATAGTGAAAAATGGGAGCCTTGCAATGGGATTTTTCCTTTGCCACCCAAGGCATAGTGAACAGGAATTCCAGGTTAGGGCATAGCTATTGCACTGTCCCTTATCAGAGGCACAAGATTCTGTGTGGGCAAAACAAAGGGTGGTGTCTGGAGCACGGGAACAGAGAGGAAGAGACAAAGAGGAAACACGCTTACGTGGCGATACAGCTTCTTCCCGAAAGTCTCTCTCTGTGCTGCGCGCTGGCACATTATCTGTAGAGCGGTTTCAGCCGCACCGAGGGACCTCATGCAGTGATGGATACGGCCTGGCCCAAGCCGACCTTGAGCTATCTCAAACCCCCTGCCCTCACCTGGTAGGAAAGAAAAAGAGGCACACGCAGACTCCCTCTGGAAATGATCCGTGGCTCTGAGCCGAAGTGGCCTCACAGCACCAGAGCTAGAAGTGAGCTTCTGAAAAGTTTATTTTGCGGAACTGTTGCTTGTTTATGGCAACTAGATCTATATTGACACACTGTTAATAATACTTACAGCAAAAAGCACATTGTAAGATGGTTTCTGAGAGATTTGATTTACCTGATTTCATTTAAGTGTTGTTAATCGTACATTGAAAAATACATCATCTATGATATTTGGTATGAGAAAATGGGGGAAGACTTTGAGGTTTCCAGGTCCTAGGACTACTCAAGAGAGAAAGCTCTTTCAGCAAAATAAAAATAGCAGAGAGGAAACAGAAGAAATCAGGATTTCGAGTAATAAGCGAGAGAAGTAGAACAAAGATCTCCCTGTAGAAGGTCACAGGGCCAGCCTGCTCATTCTGTCATTTTCTTTTTCAGTTCTGCTAAGTCTGCAGGCCTCCATGTCGGAGTGAGAGTTGGGCCCGCAGTAACGACGCAGCCTCAACATGAGTATGGTCGTTCTCCCTTTATTCACGTTTTTACAGCATATTTATAGACAAGCAGAAAGCCATGCACTAAGCCACACATCTATGATTGGTTTACAACTTATGTCCATGCGTATCGAGTTATTTTTAATTGGTACACGTCTCGTGTCCACGCGCCATGAAGTAACACTGTTCCCTCCCCTGCTCACGGAGATAGCTCCTCTTTTCTTTTCTTTTGTTCTGCTGCTTCTGCTTCTTAGGGGATTCAAGGAGAGTTCACGGTCACTTTCAGGCCTGCAGCTAAGGCTTTTATTCGCGGCCCATTGCAAGGGCTGGATTGTTCATCGCAACCAGGTTATGTCCCTTCTCATTCAGCCACTCTTCCACACCTCCAGGCTTGGAAGGCCACGGACTACAGCAGAGCGCTCTTTTTAAAAGCCCGTAAAGGGGAAAGAACGCCACTGACAGTTTCTGCTTTGCTGTCCTTCACGGAAGTGATTTTTGCACGACAGCTACAGCTGCCCTGCCTCCTTCAATCACCTTTCTGCTCTAAACAAGTGACATTCAAGCAGCAGGTAGACTGCTAAAGGAAGAATGGGCTCCCTCCGACACGTGTTTGAGACCCTGGCTCAACTGACCGTAGCTGTTTACAATAACTGATGGTGATTCATAAAGTAAACCACCATTTCATAAAACTTAGTTCACTGCTGTATGTATTAAAAAAGAATTAATACTGAAACTCACCCAGTATTATATTGGAGACAGGTACTCGCACGTTATTAAAGTGTATCTCAAAATGCCCTCCATGGATCTCGTCTACAGGGATAGAGAAAACACAACAGCAGTGTAAAATGAAGGAGGATAAAAATACAGGTCTTCAATTCTTAATGCTTTTTCTATATATGCCTTTTACTGATTCATTTCATATGCAACATTTATTAGTATTACTGCAGCTTCTGAGACTGCTAACAAATTAAGACACATACAGCTGATAAATATTATCACCTACCCAGGTAGCCAAACACTGAGAGGGGTCTTATCAGCTTCAGCCCCGGTGTGTCCATGGGAACAATAATCATACTGTGCTGCTCGTACCTGATCAAGACAAAATGCACGAGTTACAATTAACTTTGAGCCTCCCTTCTGTCCCCTCTCTCCACTTTTTTATTTTCTGTCCTCAATTTAGCACGCGCATAAAGCCAATATTGAGATTTACCTACACCGACTGGAGCATGCAGCGTGGCACGCACGCTTCGACACTCCTTGAATCACCAGTCAACAAGTAAAAACGTCCTACCGGCATCAAATGCACCACGACCAAAAAACTCCTACTTCTGTCACTTCCATACAAGTACTTCTGTATCACTCAGCCAAGTTCCTTCCGCCACCCCACCTTTCTTTTTTGTTCTCAAAACATGTTTATCATCATCTTGGCTTGCCTATAGTTTAGGAAAAAAATCCCCACGTTTGAATTCCCTCAGTCTACTTAAGGTCAGTTCTTAGTCACCCCGAACTGGAGGTGACATCTCAGGTCCCTGAATTCCTTCTCCACTTCTAGCAAGTGCAGTATCACATAATCCCCCCATGAACCG